GTATTGGGGGCCTACTGATTTTGTACTGAATGACCAGAGGATTCTGGTTTCCCTTTGGGAAGCCAAGAGTCGGGACCAGTTATTTGCGGAGATCTTGCTGTCGATTGAGGTCTCTACTTGTAAGTTTCTCTCTTGCTGATGGTTCCTGCTCAGACCACCCTCGAGCAGGGGCCACAGGTCCTCTCCAGAGCTTGGGGCAGGGGTTTTGTGCCCCTGGACATGTTTCAAGAGAAGGACTGGGGAAAGAGGGACAGCTCCTGTTCCCAGCTGGGATTGACCTTCAGCCTGAACGCCTGGAGCACAGTCTGGATCATGGGCTGATTCCCCGTTGAGGTGCAGGGCTTCACATAGCCCTGTGTCCCTCAGCCTGCTGTCTGGGCATGAGGGGGGAGTGGTCCCCTCCTAGCAGAAGCAGCTCCTGTTTGGCCTCCTGGCTGGCGCAAAGGACAAGCAGGAAACTTGAGTGGCACAGAGAAGCAGGGGTTGGTAATCAAGAAGCAGGTGCCTGACTGCCTCAGGTAGCAAATTACTCCTGCTGACCCCTGGAGTCAGCTTTGCTGGAAAGGAGGTTACAGGTTTTCATTTCCTTGGCTGGGGTCTGGCCAAGGTCCCCAGAATCCCATGGGATTGTTTGATTCGGGCTGCAGGCAGGCTCACACAGCCTGTCCTCTCGAAGGAGAATTGTGGCAGACTGTCAGCAAGCCTGAGCCACCTATAAGGGAGATGCTGGCTTGTGCACAGCTGCTGTACACATTCCAGGGAGGAGAGTCCAGGGTGAGGCCACCACCAGCACTTCTGCTCCTAAGACTGCTTCTCCGCAGTGGCAGATGCTGGGCCAGCTCAGCCCCAGTGCCTACCATGCCTGTTCTGAGATGTCTGCTCTGTGTTAATTCACTGTGCCCTGTAGTCTGTGCCATTAGCTTCAGTTTTCCCATTTTTCAGATGAGAAACTGAAGGCTTACTTCTTCACCACCCGACAACCTTTCCAGGCATGGCTTCTGCTACCCATTACCAGCTGCCTTTTTCCAAGACAGAAGTCAAAGCAGTGCCCAGATTGGTTGTCCACCTTACTCCCTCATCTCTGCTTCCCTGCCTTGCCCCGTGTTTCTCATTTTCTCTGGCCCTGCTAGCCTCTCCCTCTCCCTCAAGCCCACCGGGCCCAGCCTCTTCTCTACCACAGAGCATGCTGTCTCATTCTGTGGCATCCTGGACCTTGAGGGCAGAGCTCAGGGCTTCCTGTGGCCGTATTCCGCCAAAGTTGCCCGTCACAGGGCTTGGGGGAGACACAATAAAGAAGGAGCAAAGATACCAGCCAGGGGCTGCCAGTTCCCACTTATTTGTGCCTGAGACTTCCCAGCTTGCCACCCACTCCCTACTGAGACCCAGAAAATGCCTGAAGATGTTCAATTCTTCCTGGAAAGGAGGAGAGATGTTCTGAGGTGATTGAAAGAAAAGCCTGTTGAATTATACAAAGATCTGGCAAATCCACCCACAGGGGTGGTGAAATTTGACATCACTGGCTTCCAATCCAACAAAAAGATGAGCCTCATTTCCTGCTAAGTGAGCAGGTGGTGGTGGAATGATGCCCAGACTGGCCTCAAGGGGCTGGGATTCTGGCCCAAGGTCTGAGACTGTCCAGCTGTGTGATCTTGGGGAAGACACCCCCGCTTTCCCAGGCCTCAGTTTCCCCTCTAAGAACTGGGACTGGGACTGGTGGATGGGGAGAGGAGTGCGACCCCCCATGTACCTTCCTGCCCTACCTTCCATTCTGTTCATGGAAGCCCAGCCTTCCCTGCACAACTCATTGCCTCTCCTTCCTGCTCCTCCCCAGCCTACTTCCTGCCCCTGGCCTACAGCAGTGCAGACCCTGTGCTGTGTGCCCAAGGGAGCACCTGTTGTGAGGATGTGCCACAAAAGCAGCGTTTGACCTCAGTCCAGCCCTGCCCACCCTCAGCCCTCACACATCACACTGCCATCCTAACTGCTACCCATACAGAGTTCCTCTTGCGCATCAGGAATCGTGCCAAAAATTTTCCATCTCTTGCTGAAGCTTCGCAGCAGTCTCCGGATGCAGGCTACCATTCCCATTTTGCAGATCAGGATCTGAAGGCTCAGAAAACTAAAGTGGCCTCTTCGTGGCCACTCAGTTTTTAAATGCAAAGCCTCAGTTAGCAGGAAGATATTCTGACCACCTAATTCAGTTTTTAGAGAGCCAGCATTTGCAAGAGGAGCCCTGTAGTTGTCAGCTTTGCTGTGTAACAAACAATCCTCAGAGATCGATGACTTGTAGCAAATCTGGTTCACATTCCAGGTTAACGAGCTGTGGGTCACTGCAGGCCGGCTGGGATTTGTCACTGCAGTGTGGATTTTCTCAGCTGCAGGTCCAGGATCAGGACAGTTGCTCCCCAGGGCTTGGGCCTGACCTGAAGGGTCATGCAGTCACGAGCCTGGGCACTCATCTGACTGCTCACATTTTCTTGGCCAGAGCAAGTAGCATGGCCAGGTCTGACCTCAGCAGGGTAGGGAAGTAATGTCCTCCCACAAGGAGAGGCCATGGCCATGGCCAGTCATTTTCTGGGTGGTATGGGTGGCTGACCCAGGCTCTACGGCTCAGTAGCTATCTGGACTCAGCAATTGTTTCACCAGCCTGGGCCTCGGTTTCTCTGCCTGGAAAGTGGAGAGGCTGCTTTCAGCCCTGGGTCTGTTGACTGGGGCTGCCATAGCAGAACACCACCGCTGGGGGGTGCTAACCAAACAACTTTATTTTCCTGCCCTTCTGGAGGCTAATGTTGTCAGAGGGCGAGAGCTCTTTCCAGCACGCCTTTCCCTACTTCGTCCTCACAGGCCTTTTTCTTCTCTGTGCCATCAAGGGCCCTCTTTTACAAGGACTCCATTCACTGGAGTCAGCCCTGGCATTGAGACTCATTTCACCTCATTATCTTCTGAAAGGCCCTGCCTCCAAACACAGCCACCTTGGGGTGAGGCCCTTACACAAGGGAGAAGGCCAGGTCAGCGCACGGCAGGTCCTCTTCCCTTAAAGTGTCGTCTTGACTGAAATGGGGAATCCCTAAAGACAGCATCTGGCCTCCCAGGAAAGCTGGGCTGCCCTTAGTGCCTGATGTCTTGCCTTTCGCTGATTGGCCAGCTGCGTGGGTATGGCCTCAATGGGCTTGTCTTTGTATCCTCTGAAGTCCATCTCAACTCCTGCACACACTAGGTCCTGGGAAAAGAAAGTTTTGAGCCGTACAGTGAGGCATGGGGCAGTGAGCAGGAGCCAAGCAGCACTGGTGGATCCCCGGGCTGTGCTCCCTGCCATCGTTGTCCCAGGCTAGTGGGATCTGTCACACTGACACAGAGGTTGCTTTACCAGCAGAATCTCCGCAGTCTTCGTGTTCTCTGGCCCTCCGCCCCTTCCAGAGCAGCTGGGCACTGTGCAGAGCAGGGGCAGCTCAGAGATATTGACACACGTGCTCCTGTGAAGCCCAAGGTGACAGTGTCACCCCAGACCCCTCCCACAGCCATCGTGGGAGGGCTGGGATGGCTGGGCATCTCTCCACCTGTGTCTGCAGCGGTGTTGGGGTCTTGGCCGTGAGTGAGCCTGCGTGTTTCCTTGAACTTTGGTAGCCACCGCAGACACAGAAGCACCCAGCTCCAGTGGCTCTGGGATTCCATGGCCGTGCTGGAAACCTGCGCTGACTTTGCCATCCTCACGCGTGTTCCTGTTCCCACACGGGGCTCTGTGTGGGAGGGAATTCTGAGGCTGTTTGCTTAGCAGAGCTCCATCAGCTGGAGAGGGAGAGATCTGTGGGGGGCAGCTGGCCTTTCTGAGCCCCCCACTTGGTGTGGCCACCACACGAGGGTTGGGTTGAGCATCATGGGGAGTTCTTGGCCTCTCCCCTGCTCAGAGCTGATTTCCTGCTGCTGTGATGACTGCCCCAGAGTGTTCTGACCCTCTCAGCCTCAGCTTCCTCCTCTGGGAAATGGGCTCCAGGGCCCCTCTCGGGAGATGTGGACACCTGGCCCAGAGTAGATGGTGGTGGTGATGGTGGGGGTAGAAGTGACGATGGTAGTGAGGATGGTGGGGACGGCGCTGATCATTGATGATAATGAAGATAGTGATGGTGGCGATGGTGGGTTAAGCCTTAGAGAGCATTGACTGCGTGTCCAACCCACTTAAGCACTACAGTTACCTTGGCCTTCCGAGTTGGCTCTGCATCCCTAGGAAGTAGGCGTTACCATAGCTCCTTTACAAACAAGGAAGCTGGTGCACGACAAGGTGAGGGGCTCACTGAGTGCCAGAGCTGGGACTTGGACCCGGGTGGGCTAGCCACACACGTCACAGGAATGTGCTAGGGCTCCGTTATCCATTATGGCCACAGGCTACAGCTGACTCAGGTTCACAGCCACAGGCAGTGGGGAGAGGGAGCGGCAGAAATCTACCAGTCCGACCTTCAGAAAGCTCTCTGCACCCCATTTCCCCAGGGAGAACGCACCACACACACCTCACAGGTGGCAGGAGCGGTGACCACAGCTGCCACAAGCCCACAGGCAGTATCGCTACCTTCTGTTGAGGTTGTTGAATGAGCTCTCTGCTCTCCTTAGTGTTTAGGACAGAAGCCAATATGACAGTGATACCACCTCCCAGACTCTCAGATTCACATTCTTTCTGTTCATGGTGTGTCTACTTGTCTCCCAAAGCCTCATGCAGTCATAGGTAGGGCTTTTTCAGAGGTGGCTGGATCTGGAGTGTGCGAAGCTGGAACTGATTCATGGTGCAGTGCTAGTCTCAAGGGCACTAGGATTATGGGGGTGTGTGCTGCCTGTCCTAAGTAACCTGAATAAGAGAACAGGGACAAAAAGATACTGTTTTGCTACCTTCTGCCTGTCTGCCTGGCCACCCAGCCTTGGAGCCGCCCGATTATGGACTGAAACCTCCACAAAGTGTGAGCTAAATAAACGTTTCCCCCTTTAACTTTGGGTGTTGGGTATTTTGTTTCAGCAATGAATGAAAAGTACCTAAGATACCCTCTCTCCACAAAATGCCCAGTTGCTTGTTTTCTGCCTGTTGAAATAATATTCTAGAGTCAGAGTCCATGCCTGCTTCACCTGGATGTTATCTGTGACCTGTAGCGGGTGCCTCTGCCGGCAGATAGATGAGTCTTTGACCTGGGATCCAGCTCCAGGCCAGCTCTGGCCTCTGATCTCTGACCTCATCCTCCCACCCACCCCCACACTCAGCCAGGCCAGCTTCTCTGCCTCTCAGACCTGCCTTCCTCCTCTGCCTGGCTGGCTCTAGGCTGTTCCTGGGTGGGCCAGTGGGAAGTTGGCTTTGTGTGTGGCAGGTCCCAGAAAGGGGTTCCCTTTCCTGTTTCTGTGTATTCCTCCTCCCAGGACAGCTTTGACTTACCTCTTCCACTGCCCGGAGTTTTGCAGGTCTTCAGGGCAGGCCCTCCAAATTCAGCATTTCAGAACAGGAAGTGGTCTTAGAGATCCGTGTGCAGAGTCTTCGTTTTGGAGTTTGGGGCAGGAAGTTTGAACGTGCAGGCGCCCTCACTCACATCCGGTGCCCTTTAGTTAACTGTGCATTCTCTTCCCACACCGAGTGGCTTGACGAGGTACAGCAGCTTCGCACTGAGGTAATACCCTGCAGTTCTGAGCTGAGCCCGCTGCAGAAGCTCTCTTGTTAGAGCTTCATACTATCTCCCAGGAGTACATCTGAACATTTCTTCCTGTCTTTCAGATAAAGAAACTGAGGCTCAGAGAGGTTGAGGAGTCCCAATGAGGTCACAAAGTAGGTAAGGAGCAGAGGTGGGATTTGCACTCAGCTCTCTGACTCTAGAAACGACTTTGAATCACCTTAATCCTCTGCCTGAAACTGTGTGTTGTCTGTGACTGTCCTCTTGCACCACGGGTGTGAGCTGTCTTGGGGAGGTTTGTGCCAGTTTTATGTTTTGATAGTCTCCTGCCGATTCCTATTTCCACAGACATGGGCCTGGGGGAAGAGATCAGGGAAGGGGACAGTGGCTGATGGAAACAGCCCTGCTCCCTGTGGGTGCAGACCAGCACAGACCCAGAGCCCAGCACCCAGGCTTCAGGAATGAGCCTCCTGGCTGATGAAAGCCCAAGGCCTCCACAGGGTCCTAAGAACCAGAGCTCTGGGGACAGGGGACGCGGTGTAGCCTCCCTGCCATGCCACTTGGCTCATATCCTGCTCCAGCTGCAGAGCGGCCCAGTGAGCAGTTACACAGTGGCATCTGTAGTATTTTGGGTTCAGTTGTTTTTACAAAAATGAGAGGAAGTGTGTAGGCTGAGTTCTGCCTCCCTCCTTAGGACAGCAGCTCTGCTGCTCAGCTGGGGTGCTGAGACAGGAAATTCCTAACGCAAAGGCCAGGATCAGAGCCCCTGCTCTGCCTGCTCCCTGTGCCTGGCTGATTTGAGGTCCCCTTTGTGATCACCCACTTCCACCTGAGGCCCAGGAATGACCAAGCCTCCCTCCTGCTGGGATGCACAAACCACAGGGAACCTTTGCCCCCTGGGCTCTGGAGGCCTCACTGTGTCACAATTCTCTGTCCCCTCTGCAAATATTTGTGGAGGGCTTTATCACTGTTCTCAGCATGGGGAGAGCAAGCAGAGCAGGCAGATGAGCTCCCTGCCCTCTTGGAAACGGGAGGCAGATCCACACGCAGCTCCATTTGCGATTGAGTGTCATTTCATGCTTAAAGCTGTTTCTTCTCTCCTTTCCTGGTCGCTGACACCCACAACTCAAAGAAAGTGAAGTTTATTTGGGCTCCCAGTTTGTAGAGGTTCCGGTCTGTCCATAGTCAGCTAATTCCAAAGCAGGGCAGCATGGCAAAGGAGAAGCAGATCATGGCAAGGCAGGCAGGAAGCAGCAAGTAGTGAAGAGAGGAGGGAGGGAGACTGATGCTTCCAGGCCACAGCCCCAGTGACCCACGTCCTCTCCCTGGGCTTCACCTCCCAGCCTCACACTTAGCTCTAAACTCATCCGCAGACCCATCTAGGAACACATGAGACTTTGGGGGACAAGCACGACAGGCTGTGAAGGGAAATGTCATAGAGCAAGGTAGAGTGACAGCAATGCTGCTGGAGGGTGGCCAGGGCAGGCCTTGCTAGGGAGGTCAGTGCAGCAAAGGTATGAGTGCCACGAAGGTGGTGGGTAAGTAAGGCGAGTCTCACTCAAGGAGACAGTGTGTGCCAAGGCCTTGAGGAGGGGATAGACTCGGAGCGCCATCCACTGTGTTCTTTGAACTTGATTCTGTGCATTTATCCTCCCCATTCTCCCACCAACAGAGCTGCTTCTCCTGTGTTTCCTTCTACCTGTTATCCCTGTGGTGCTTGTAGGCAGGGATAGAGGTTATACAGGAAAAAAGAAAATCAGACAACCAAATAGGGCAAAGGAAAGATGTGTTTCTAACAGAAAATGACTGGCTTTAATCTTCTGTATGTGCTTCTCCAGTGAAATTTGAAATAGCTTCATACCCTGGCCTTGCATTGATCTCCAGATGTCCTGGCTGCTGAATTTTCAGCACACTGTCATCTGCTATTACAAGTTCATTTTTCCAAGCAGAGCAGGAGCCTAGACTCCAAAATGTCAGAAACAGTGAGAAATGAACCCGGACTGTGGAGCTCAGGAGGGAGGCCCAGAGGGCAGGTGGGCCCAGGTAGGACTTCACAGGCCAGTAGTGCTCTGTCTCAAGCTCAGCCTCCCCACTGCCCCAGAGTCACCCCCACCATCAGTCTCATGGTGACCACGGTGATGTGGTGCTGTGACACCTGTTGGGCTCCTGCTGGGCAGCCCTGGGCTGTGCCTTCCTGAAGGGATGTCCGAGCACGCCCTGGTGGGTCCTATCCATTCCCTCATGCCTCAGAAGATGAAGCAGAAAAACAGAGTCCTCTGTGCTCCTGAAACACAACAAACTTTCCTTCAAGGGAGGCAGCAGCCAGCATGGGGCCAGCTCCCCTTGACTGGCCTGACTCTGTCTCTTAACAAAGAGAGCCTACAGAAGAGGTGCTACCTTGGCCATCCTGCCTGGGTACCCCAGGCCAGAACACTGGCTACCTCCTCTACCCAGACCTGTGGATGCAGACCCAGAAACTCATTTCCAGGAGCAGCAGAATGGCTTCTTTCTCCTGCAGGCCCCAGAAGAACTTATTAAATCTTCCATTAACTGAATCTTATTCAGCTGGAAAAATAATCATCAGAAAGCAATTCTGCCTGGGTACAGGCCTGAGAGTGCCTGCAGTTCCTCTTAAGGAATGCGGCAGAAGTGCAGCTTGGGAGACACAAGAGCCCAGTCCTGCCTACCCGCCCCCCAGGGGCAGGGGTCGCCCCACAACTCTGTTCGGTGGGCATCATGTTGGCCACCTGTCTGTCCATCCAGTTTTAGACAGGCCCCCAGGACAGGCAGGGGCAAGGGCCCAGTACTGGGAGTACAGACAGCACTAATAAGACCCAGTCCGTGCCCTTCAGGCCAGTTGGGGCTGCATTGGCTGAAGTCCAGTGAGCTCTTGGCTCAGTCCCTCCCTCCTGCGCACACCCATGCACATGTAAATGTTCAGAAACTTTCACTTCTCCGTCTTGTCTGTTTTCTTCAATTTCTGCCCTCATTTAATTAGTTTCATGTGTTTACTAACTCAAGCTAACCTCTTTCCTTCCATTTTCTCCTGGTCTGTTCTTCTCCTGGTCTGTTCCATACACTGCATCCACCTCACCTAGAATGCTGGGAAGAAGGAAGGGGCTGGAAGCCAGCCAGGGCAGCACTCCTGGGACAGGTGGGCTAAGTCACAAAGTTCACAGCCCAGCGAGGGCACAAAACAGAAGTGCCATCGTCTGTAGGGGTGATTGCTCCGATAATAAAATCCCTGGGAAATACGCAGCAGTGTACAGCTCAGGATTTGATTTTATCCCACTTAAAAGCCAATCATTCAAAGCTGTGGAGGGCAGGAGACTCCTGGATCCTAGGCCAGGGACTTTATTATTCTCCATGCAACAAAAAGCCTGAGCTGCTCCCTCTACCCCTGGGTCCTCTGGGGCCAGAAGAGGTCACAGTGATGCCAGCACAAGCCACAGGTTTTGGAGTAGACCAGGAACCCGAGCCTGGGGATCTGCCACTCTGCAGCACACAGCAAGCTGCCAGGGTTTCTGTTCCAGACAGAGACATTGCCTCCTATCTCAGGACTAATGGCGGCAACATCCAGGTGCCTGTCCTGAGGCAGAGTGCTGTTCTGACAATAGGAGGTGCTAGGAACAGCTCTGGACCTGAGCCCTGGGGCTCACGCTTGCTCAGTGTGAGGCTGGGCAGTGTACTACAACCAGGCCTCTCTTAGCCTCAGTTTCCCCTCTATGAGATAGGGATATCCCCATACACACACCTGGATGATTGTTAAGGAAAGTGTGTGGGCCCTCTTAAAAGTCCTGAGGGTTGCAAAGAGAATTCCTGGAGCCAAACAAGAAGCTCTTAGTTATTTTTTTCCCTACTAGGGATTGAACCCAAGGTCCTTGCACTGAGCTACATTCTCAGATCTTTTCTATTTTTCATTTGGAGACAAGATCTCACGAAGTCACTAAATTGCCCAGGCTGGGCTTGATCTTTCAGTCTTCCTGCCTCAGCCTCCCAGAGTGCTGGGATTACAGGTGTGCAGCACCACCACACCTAGAGAAGCTCAGCTGCATGGTAAATCCTTCTTCTTGGTGTCCCTGCCTGACATTGGCTGCTCGAAGCATGTTGAGCAAATGCAGAGGGAAATGCACTCCATGGTCCCAGGGAGTTTCTCCCAGGATGGCCAGCTGACTGATCATCATAATTGGGGTGGGGCGCGGTGTAGCCTCAGTGGCCAGAGCAGCTTGGGTGGGGCACATTGCTCACAGCTCCTGGGCTCGGTGCACTTGGAGGATGGTGGTGGGGTCAGTGTGGCTTGAGAAAGCACATGAAGAAAAGGCCTAGCATGTGGGGCCCAGGCCATAGTGAGGGACCTGTTCATAGAGGATCTCACAGCCAGCCTGTGAGTTTAGTGCAGAGACCCATGGGAGCCTTTGGGTAGGCGGGAACGGGGGCAGAGAGTGCGTGGGAGGAAGGAGATTCATGAATCTGATAGCTGACCATGTCCTGTGGTTACTAACAGTCTGCCAGTATTTCACGGGTTCTGGCACACGACACAGCATCCTGGAGCCGAAAGTAGGTAGCGTCATCCAGCAGAGGAGATCTCACTCCTTCCTTGCCCGGAGGCTGAGCTCAGAGCAGACTCTGAAAGGTGTGGGGCTATTGAAGCTCAGCCAGTATGTTCAGGGGTTGAGCGGAGTGGGCAGAAGGGAGTGAAAGCCTTGCGGATCGCGGTTTGTCAGAGGCCCCGATTCTTTCCCAGCCTGTGCGTCGCTTCTGTCACACAGGGAAAACACTGCTGTCAGGCATATTGTGGACACCATCATAGATGTAAGCGGAGCCTGAAGACCTTGTGCTTTTTAATTGCATTAGTAAGAGAAAGTTCATTCATCCTAGTAATTCATCCTATCTGGGTGCTCGATTATTCCTTTACTGAGAATAATTAGCATGAGGTCAATTACACAGCACACACACACGCGTGCAGAATTTGCTTGCCAGAGTCTCCCCAGATAAAGCAGGGTGTTAGTCACTCACTGGGAGAAGGAAAAGTGAAAAGGATTGAAAGAGTAGGCAGAGAGAAACGGAGGGCTGCTCGGTGCTGACATGGGTGCCTGATGCTGGCTGCGCTCACACCTTGGAGAGCTGCACACCCAGGGAGAGCATGTGTACCGTACACCCCCTCACACACATGCCTGGCCCCTACAGCCAAGTCAGGCTGCTCAGAGAAAAGGGTGGATGAGGACTCCCAAGGCCTCCAACTGGCAGAGTCTTAGAGCCGGACTCAAGGCCCTTTCCTATGCAGTGTGCTGCACGTCCCTCCATACCGGGACATCCCCAGAACTCCCACCTGCCAGACGTGATGTTACCCGTGGCCACCAGCACAGCAGCCCACCTCTACCGACCACGTTCCCGGGGCAGGGAAAAGACACCTGTAGGCTTTGAAGCAAATGGGGCAGAACCAGCTGTTTGTAAAGTGTAGTGCTGGCCATTCTGGGGGCCCCGTGGTGGGCAGCCAGGGACAGGTTGTCTAGTTCTCCCGCCTCCAGATCCAAAGTCACATCGGCCAGGGAAGGGTGGGAACTCCCAGATTCAAGGGAGGGCCCACGTGACAGCCTGCTGAGCCCGGCTGGCACTGGACCACTCCCTCCACCTGCACCTGGGGTCACCACACATCGCCAGGGCTGCAGCAAGCCGCCAGCTCAGGGCACCCTCTCCTCCCCAGCTGGACAGGGGTGAGTAGCCCGATGCTCACTTTGGGAGGAGTAGAAAGTCCTGAGCTGCGGGAGTAACTCACACAGGCCACGCTCTGCAGGTGCAGTGCTGCCAGTCAGCTCAGCTGGGAAGCAGACGTGGGCATGAGAAGCCTGGGCTCTGGAGCCACACGGTGTGGGCCACTTCTAGCTTCATGCTTGCAACAGTTGCCACCCAGGGCTGAGGGCTTTGCCTTTCTGGACTTCTGTAAAATGAGTGCTTTACTATCTTCAGTGAATGAGCAGGAATAAACCTGCTAGGCCCACAGGAGTCCTGTGCTCCTCGCTGCGTGTGTCAGTTGCTCCTTACCAGAGAAGGGTCAGACAGGTGAAGGCTGAAGGAGAGCCTTCTGCTCTCTCAGGGCCACTGCGGGGCATGTTGTGCTTGCCTCTGTTTTGCCTGGAAGGGTGGGATGAGCCAGGCAGCTTGTTGGGATCACGCACAGCTGACTTCTGGGGCCGTCAAGCCAAGCCTGACTGCTTTTCCCCCGCCATGAACATGGCATCTACACCTGAGTCTACCTGAGAACGACCTGGAACCTGCCCGAACCCCCTTGTCTAGTAAGTGGTAGACCCTGAGACAGCCTCACCTTACAAGGGGGAGGTGGCAGTGAAGGATTGTCAGGATCCAGCAGAGGAGGACAGCCCTTGGGGTGTTCCTCATCCCCGGTGTCATCCCTACGTAGTCAAAAAGGTAGAACCCTCCAGCATACAGTGCTGGTTGCAGACACATCCAGTGCAGCACCAGCTTCCCATCTGGCTTCGAACCTGGGGTCCATCATTCACTATGTGGCCATGAGCCCCCAGCCTCAGCCTCCCTGCCTCCCTTTCTCTGGTGCAAAGGATGAAGGCAGCACCCACTGCAACACTGTGGTGCAGGTCCAAGAAGCCCCTTAGGAAAGCACCTGGCCTGGTGCCCTGCTCAAGCTGCACTAACCTGGTAGCAGCAGATACCTGTGGCCAGGCACTGGTACAGTGTGGAGCATCAATGCCTGAGCCCCTCCTGCAGCAAGTGTGTACACAGCACTCCAGGACTCACCAGCCTTGGGTGCACATGGGGGACAGCACACGAGGATCTCTTTCTGTGGCTCTAAGCTTCCTGTCCCCTTGTTATGCCGGGCTCTGGAGATGTCGCCCACGGCATACTAGTCAGTTCTGGCCTCTGCACCTTGCTGTCTGCTTGGACCCCCATCTCCAGTTCTCCTAGTGGCTGCTCAACCACCACTTGCTAAGGGAGCCAGGATTCCATTCCTTCCTGAATGCCAGGCTTGGGAGGACCTGAAGCAGACTGAGGCTCTGTGTGCCACAGAGCTGGACAAGTGTTCTGGCTGACGAAGGCTACCCTTTTTCAGGGGCATGGCAGGGTGGGGCGACCTCGTCCCGAGATCCCACTGGATACCGTAACACACTGTGTCTGAACGTTCATGCCACGCACCTGCTGGAGCATGCTGGGAGCTCCCCAGGTGTGCAGCTGCATTTTTACTGCAGTCTGTACCTCCATTGTGGGCACCATGAGGGTTGTCCCCAGCCCCTTCTTGAGCCTCTCAGATGCCTCTGCAAATCAGTGGAGCTGAGATATTTTCCTGGGAGTCAAGACTGGGGAGAAAGGAACCATTCAGCCATGTCAGCTCTTTGCTGCTCCGCTCAGAGCTGTTGGACCAAGAGCCTTCAAAGCAGCCCATAAGCTAAGATGCAGGAGGGTTGGGCCCTTAACAGCACCCAGTGGGTTCCCTTTGTTATGATTTCTACACCACCTAAAGCAGGGAATCGCTTCCTTTTGTGGGCCAGGTGTAACCATGGACATCCACAGTCTGACTTCCTAAGTTCCTGGCCACGTTTTGTGCTCTGATGCTGTCTGGAAGCCTTCAGACTCCAAATTTAGCACTCCTCAGTCCACATGCATAAGAAGATCTGTGGATTTAAATTCCCTTTCTGAAGCTGAGAATATGAAAACTTATCTGCCTCCTTCTCATGTGACCCTAATCCTGGTTAATTCTTTTCCTCTGGGGCGATTGTCCAGTGCCCCTTTCTGAACTGCCGTTGTGATTCAGGGGAATCTGTTTTGTCTCCTGCGTCTCAGCGAGGGAGCAAAAGGAGGTACCAGGGTCAGAGGAGGAGGGTGTGTGAGTACCACAACAGGTCCTCCCAGGGCGCTGGATCCTCTTACATGTGGGGGAGCTGGGTGTGTGTTGGGAGACTGAGGGCACCAAAATACCAGGCTCAGTCACCTCTCATCTCGATGGAAACAGAGCTGTGCCCTGAAGACTTCCACAGGGTGCTGGGTGTGCCCCTCTCTGGTCAAGTCTCTGTGCTGCGGCAGGCACTGAAATCTGTGCTCCCAAACCAGCTGGTGACTCCTTATTGCCTTGATCCCTAGGTTCATCTCTTAGACAGTGTTCTATAACCATGCTGAAAGGTTCCCCTTTCCCTGGCATTCCCTGCCCTCCCCTCCCCAACACCATGTGCTTTTCTGGGAGGTGATTCTCTGGCTGGCTCACCCCACTTCTCTCCACCCTCCCCATCCATCCAGACCACAGCTCCTCTACTCCAAAAGCCCTCCTCGTGGACCCCCTGCTCCACACAGCCTTCCTGTCACTTGTACTCACCTGCTCCTTCTGAATCACTGAGGCCATCAGCATGGCCTCCTGGGAGGCACTCGTCCCCCAGGGGCAGATGGATGTACATGAGCCACCACATGGTAAGTCCTCGTTCTAGCCCAGTCCATGGCTTTGCCATCTCACAGTGAAGACAGGTGTGCACCAGACAGGTTCAGCACAGCACCGCAGGTGTCCTTGTGTCCCCAGGTGAGAGGAAAGACAGTGTCACCCTGAGAAACAGGCTCCTCAGTAAGATCCTGCAGCCCCTGGGCCTCCAACGCTGCCTCATCATTAAATGGGATGGTGGCACTACCTCTGCCATTGGATCTGGACCTCATGTTTCATACCCTGTCTGGTCCTCGAGAGCTTGTCAGATGGTAGCAGTGTTCTGGGATAAGAAGGCAGGTGGTTGGGGCTACAGCTAGATTCTGCGTAGGAAGGGAGGGAGGGGTGAATATGACCACTGGATGCCAGCTCTGGTTAAGGCTGTCCTGTGAGCCTCTGTCTGAGGGAAAACACTGATGATCCTTCTGGTAGCCGAGTAGGAGGATGGGTGGGTAGATCACAGTAGAGAGGGCTCAGAAGTACGGGGTGATCAAGCCACAGGAGTAAGGAGTGATCAGACTAGAGGAGTGGTCAGTCAGCCCCCAGAGCATCCAGGGCAAGGTACTTGTGGCTCCTGCTTGCATTGGCTACAGTTTCTGCTGGAAAACCATGTTGGAGAGAGAGTTGTTGGCCTTTCCCAGGAATCCTGGGAGGATCACCCCTGGAGGGATGCTGAATAGCACAGGGGAGCCTCTGGGCCTGCCCACGCCAGTGAGCATGGGCAACTGTACCTGCTGATAGGTGGGTGCCTGCAGCAGCTGGCGTGCACTTTGGCAGGATTCCAGAAAGAGTGGCCATACCAGGTGGGAGGGAAGGTGGGGCTCAGGATAGGCTGGCCAAGGGGCAGCAGCCTGGTTCCTGGAGGGGTGGGAGCAGGACTGCCTGAGTGTCACCTCCGGGGCACTGAACAAACTACCCAGCAACAATGCCCTTGGAGTTATGTAACAAATGGCACTGAGGGACCGCCTGGGCTGGCCAGCCTGCTGGCAGAATGCAGCCAATCAATGCCTCTGAGGTGAGGAACAGAGCAGAGCTTAGTGGAAGGGTTATTTGCAGAGTCATGACACGCTACAGTCCTGCGGTATGGAAACACTGGGAATGGTTCCAACCCTGGGCTACAGGGACAAGAGGAAAAGACTTGCTGGGACTCCAGACAAAGCCAGTGTAGAGACAAGGACCCTCTGGCAAGAGCAACACACCTCTAGCCCCTGGCTTCCCTCACCCAGTGCCTTTATTTCCCAGGCCAAAGCCAAGAGGAGGCCAGAACTCAGTTCTCTGGGCAGCCACACAGCAGTCTGTCACCTCAGGTAGGAGGAAGTCCCTGCCTCTCCCTGTTGCTCCATCCAAATGGGGAATGTAGTTTCCAGGCTCCCAGCCCCTGCATTACAGAGAAGGTAGGAGAATACCAACTCCAGTAGATAGTGACCAGCACTGGGACCATGTGGAAGCATGGAACAAGATGCCTAAAGGCCTCAGATCGACAGAGTTGGTCACCAGCAGTTTTGCCTTTGAATAGAAGTCTGGGTCATGAGTACTGTGGGTACCTCCCTGGCCCTGACCCCAGTCTTTAATTTTAACAACCAGTTCGCAGAGTTCTCAAAATGAGCCCCAGCGCATGATAGCCAGGGATCTGCCAGGATTAAGAGCACCAGTAGGAGGTTTGTCACCCAACCTCAGACACTGAGACCAGGAGTGCTCTGAATTGTAAGGAGATGGATGGGCACAGGAAGTAGGGGCTTTGGGGCAGTGCTGGTTCCATCTGCCCCAGCAAAGCTTCTGAGCAGAAGCCTGCAGGTCTGACTCACTGGTCTATGGTTTCTCACTAGGCTAATTCTCCTGCTGAGGGATTAAAGCCAAGGTCAGACACACCCCTGCATAATAACAGGAAGGCCAGGGGGAATCTTCCCAGCATACAGTTTCCAGGCCAGGCTCTTCCTGGAAATCCATGTGTGGCCCAGTGCAGACAGGTAGGGTGCAGAAAAGGAAGGGAGGAAGGAAAGAAAGAGGGAGGGAGGCAACCAGACATGGAGCCCAGTCCTGGGAAAACCATTCTATGTGATACGAAAGACCCCAGTCCAAGTCCAGCCTGCATTTCCTGGTTGTATGTACTCTGAACCTCAGCTTCCTATCTGTGAATTGGTGTGAAGGTAACCTCCGTGTGCTGAGCACTATTAATGGCAAGCACTGCTGCACTTAATCCATGTGCATCCTTTTGAAGAGATGACACCACGGTATCCCTGCCTTGGGGCAAAGACCAGTGATACAGATCAGCTAACTCAGAGCCCCTCAACTAGGAAGCAGCCGGCTCAGCATTCACACCCAGGACCAGCTAACCCCAAAGCCTGAACTCTGTCCCCACCCAGTGCACAAGGGGTGCTTAAATCAGTGACAGCTGTGACCATGAGTTGCAAAAGACAGGATGTCCCTCATCCATCACCGGCAGCTTTCCATGGGGCGGTGTAAAGCTTGGAGGCACCAAGGGCAGTGTGCCCTAGTCCCGAGGAGATGGAGCAGGGGACTCAGTGAGCAGGCACTGGCACAGCGGAAGCAGTGTAGACGCTTTGAGGAAGTACTCTTGAGGAGAAGGCGAGTTTAGAGGCTCACAAGAGCTAGCCCAGAGCTCAAGCCCCCATCCCAGTCCCAACCACATCCTGACTTGAGGCATGGATGCTGCCGAGCCCTCAGGTTCAGAGACCCCTGGGAACCTGATCTCTCTCCTCCTCTCCCCAAGAGTGTTAGGACCCCTACCCTGTAGTCCTAGAGGTCCTGGCCACTAAAGTGGAAAGCAGCAAAGGCTCAGCCCACCCGTGCCTTGAGGAGCTAGGCAAGTAGTACAGCCAGTGAGAACTAACTTGCTTACCTTGCCTTCTGTGTGTTCTGTGATGCCTGACTTCATTTGGCCTAAGTAACCCTGCCAGGGCTCTGATGAAAACCGGAAGTTCAGGGAGGAGGAACAAAGAACTCCTGTGTGGTACATTGGCTGTGCCCGGGACCTGGGCCATTCTGTGCAGTCCTTCTTCCTATGCAACCTTGTGCGTGAGTGAACCACACTTGCTGATTCTAGAACCGAGGGTCAGAGAGGGGATGCGCTGGCCCCTCACACAGAGGAACAGGAAGAAAGGGTTTGAATCCTAATCTTTCTGACATTTTTTTATTCCAACAACTGTCATCCAAGAAAGATCCATGGGTCCTCAGGTGGATTCCAGGTGTCTGTTGACCAGGATGTGGAGAGCAGTTGGGGAAAGAGCTGTTCTTTGTGAGCAGCTCCGGCAGTCTTCTGTGTGAGAAACCCGTGCCAGCCAGGTCTTACTCGTGCCACCCTGCCCTTTCATGTGAAGCCAGCCAGTACTCTTAAAGGCCAACAGCAAGATTTCCAGAAGGGCTGGCCAAGAAGTCAGGGGCTGTGTGTCCAGAGCTGATGTGTTCAGAGGATCTCCTGACAAACATGGGCTGGGCCTCCAGGGCAGGGAGAGGAGGCCCACCAGGGCCGATGTGGCCACTCTGCAGCCCATTTTCCTGCCCCTCCAACCACATAGGTCCACACTTGAAGGCAGGAGATAGGCGCCAGCCCTTCTGGGGCCCTCTGGCCCTCTCCTGTGAATTTGCCAGGTCCCTGACATGCATGGGGCACCACTGCAGGTCCCAGAGACACAGAAGGACAAAGCAAGGATACTGTGGCCTCCACATGTAACTATGGCAGATGCTGCACAGGAGAATCCCCCCCCTCCAAGGCCCCTAGATGCTGGAAATACAGAAATCCTGCTTTGTGCAGGTGAGGAGAGCAGTCCAGGAACCCAGGACTGGAGGGGTAAAGATCCCAGAGGGAAGGGAGAGGAACTGGGGTGAGCCCACCAGTCCCCACTGCCTTTCCTCAGGAGACACTGCAGATTTGTAGGAGGCCAGAGGGTAGGAAAAAAAGAGTCCAGCGACTCCGAGAGTGACAGTCTTGCGAGGCTGGGGAAGAGAACAGAAAGATGGATGTAGATGTGGATTGAGTGTGCAGATGAGTTCAGGACAAGTCACCAACCCAAAGGAAACTGCAGAGGAAAGAACTCGTGTTCTGTGCCATTCTTTTCTTTTAAGCCTTTGCCAGTGTTTAGGTTGCACTGGGGCCAGACTTTCAGAAACCAAACAGGAAGCAGCAGCTGAGAAGCTGAAACATGAAACTAAGCTGATGGCCATGGCATAGTGCAAGCAACAGGCCCTGGAGAGGCAAGGCACCAGGCTGGCCTTCGAGAGGATTGCTTGTTCTTTGAGAGACTGGCCCCAGGGGTCAGGGCCAGCCAGAAATGGGCAGTGTGACCTTGGAGACGCTGCTCACCTGCTCTGGCTGTTTCCCACTGCAGGGAGACGAGCCTGATGGCTATCCAACTTGCCTTGGAAGATCACAGTGGTTAGTTGTAGTAGAAGCATCAGCAGCCTGCTCTACTCACCGGGCCAGTTCACCAGGGACCATGGCACCGAGAGCTATGCGAAGAGCTGGGGACATCCTACTTGGGTTACCTGTACACAGCCAGCATCTGTCCCTTACTTTCCAAGTCTTCAAAAGAGCTGGCCTTGGTCACTGCTGTGCTGGGGTCTCCATCTTGTGCACAGCTTCAGTGCTTCTCGCACTGCTCCCAGCATGTGGCCTGCTGATGACAGCCACTCTGCAGCAAGAACCACTCAGAAACTGTCTCCCTCTTTGCCTCCTCTGTGTCAGGATGCACCGCCTCCACCTCATGTGGGGACCCATGGTGAGGTGGCCTGGGTTCCATTTCTGGGAGCTAGGGCTGGCCATGCCTGGGTCTTCTGCAGATTCCTTGGCAGTTGAGAGAGCTCGGGAGTTTATGGGGGTCCCGCAGTCTTCTTTTCCTCCCGGAGGCCTGAGAAGAGGTGGGGAGAGCTTGCTTTCCCATTGCACTTTTCCCTCCTCCCCCCGGGGATTTATGGATGTGCAGAACAATGCCAGCCTAGAAGTGCTGGTAAGTGGGATCCACATGAGTGTCCGTCCTTGGGCTCCAGAGATGCTGCCACCAGGATGCAGGGGGAAAGAGGCTGCCACAGAGCCCTCAACTTTGACCTCTACCCCTAGTACTCACCCCACCTTCGCATCAGCCTAGAGAAGCCCTACCTCCCACCAAGCCAGGGCACCATAGGACCAGAGTCTGCCTTGACCCTGCGCTCAGCATTCAGCCTGGGAAGGGAGCTCGCTCGTTTCCACGTTGGCCTGGCCCTGCTCATTGTAAACACAGACATCGTGAACCTAGGCCATCCTGTGCGCAGATCCTCCCATGATTTCTTCCTTTGCTTGAGTTTTAGTGCCAGTGGAGTTTTTCTTCCTTTTGTTTTTTTCTCCCTTTTTTCTTAGTATGTTTGTGACGCATAATAAATACAGTCCTGAATATATATATTCGCATCCTGATATCTCAGTCCTTTTCACTTCCCCTTCCCCTGCCATGCTTCCTGTCTCCATCTTCCCTGTCCCCTTCCCATCTGTACATGGTCTACCTCCCTGTTTCCATAATCTATTTTTTATTTTGTTCCTCAATTGTATATACTTTGGCTTCTCAGGTGAGAGAAACCATGTGATATTTAACCTTCTGTGTCTGATTTATTTTAAGAGAAATCTTGGCCTCCACTGTAGTTTCCACAGCCTGACCCTCTCCCGCCAGCCGCACGTCTGGCTCTGCTCTCATCCACTCCCAATCCTGTCCCTGCCACCACACCAGCCTCCCTTCTCCCAAAGCACTGGGGCCTGCGGATGCCCCAGAAGCTCTCACCTAGAGCTTCTCGCCATCCCAGACACCAACTCAGCTGAGTGCCTGGAGCAGCAGTGGGACCAGCAAATCAGCAGGGAATAAATTGAAGCATAGGGGACCTTGATGGGCTGATAGCCTGAACCATGACCAGAAGCAATGGTCCAGAGGCCAGGTCCCACAGTGAAGGGAAGGGACAGCCTGGTGAGAATGAAAATTTTCTGGCCCTGGGGTCTTGCCTTCTTGCTCAGATTTGCCTCTGAACTGCAGGACTGGTATGCATTTCTCTTCCTTTCTGCTTGCTGGCTGCCAGGAACTTCACTAGCGCCATGCCATGGGGTGGGTTCCAAGCGAGGTGAGACAGCTTCTATCCTCAGGGAGCTCCAGCCTGGGGAGGGGAGGGGAGTAAACAGGGCAGGCAGAAGAGCTAGGCCCAGGGCCTGGGGAGCCAGGGAGGCCCCAGGAGCAGTGCCAGCTGAGCTCTGCAGAATGAGTAAGAGCCGCACCAGGTGGATGGTTTTTCTTGACCAAGCCCGGAGGCAGGAACAGCTGCCACCTGTGGGTCAGTCATGTTGTCTCAACTTGCAAACCCTGTGCTGTGCACAGTAAAGCAGGTGGGCTGTGTAACTGAGTAGTAGAGGTACAGGGTGAGTGGAATCAGGCCTCCTTTCCACTTCCCTGGGCCTCGCACAGCACCACCGCCTCCCTGCAGGGCTTCCACTGCAACCACTCTTCAAATCTTTAAACGTTAGCTACTTTGTGTGTGTGTGTGTGTGTGTGTGTGTGTGTGTGTGTGTGGTACTGGGGATCAAACTCAGGTCCTTGTGCTTGCAAGGCAGGCAGCGACACCACTGAGCTAAATCCCCGGCCCCACAGCTACTTTTCTTTAGCAATAACTAACTTCTCCAGACTTCTCCAAACTTCTTCCGCTGCACACAAGGGCCAACACCCCTTCCTCTCCTCAATCCAAAGCCCAGACAGAACATGCAGGGGGCTGGAACCCAGCGTCCTCTCCACAGAGGAAAATGAGCTGAAGGTAGCTAGAAACGGTAAAGCCGGTGTAGAGATCTGCGTTGTCTCCCCGCATTCTCCTCCCCTCGGTTCCTTAGTGAAAAAGCCCCCCACCCACCTGTACACAGGGAGGTGCTGATTGGAGACTCAGGCCCCTCCATCTCCTCAGAAGTGGAGGATTCTGATTTGTTCTCACTCTTGCTGTTTGGTAAAATTGAGAGTCCAGAGGAACTGAAGGAGCCAGAGAGGCAAGTGAGCCCTGCATCCTAAATCCTTGCCAGGCTGGACTCAGAGAGGCCACCCGGTCACACGCTGGTGTGGAATGTGTGGCCATGCTGGGTTCTGGCTGTGGACACATGGATGGGGTGTGTGCTTAGCAACCTCCCGCACACATACAAGCATGTGCACCCACACACCAAGCTCTCCTGGGTCCTGCAGGGGTGGCCTCACTGAGGGAGAGACCATGGAAGGCATGGGTGGAGGTGTGGAAAGAGAAACATTTTTATAACCTTGTTATCTTTCTGTCTTCCTCCTTTTCTGTGCAGATGACAGCCTGTGTGCCTTCATCAAGAAGCCACTTAACTGCCACCTGCCTGGTGACAGCAGAGAAGAGTCAAGCGTCTAATTAAGGGTCCTCCGCACCACACGTTCCAGAGGGGGGGGTCACCAAGGTGGCCCTGCACCTTGTGCCAAGGCCTTGCTTCCAAGTCCTCACCCCGAGGGTCCCCAGACTGAATAGGACAGGAAATCACTGTTATTATGTTTAATTAGAGCTTCAGCTAGACACGTCACCACCAGCCCTTGCAGGGCCGTGGCAGAACAGGCTGCCTTACACCCCAGAAGACAAGCCTGGCACACACGGGTGGCTGTGTGTGCCACCCACGGACATCGCAAACACAAGGCTGGCCGCCTGTCCATGGGAAGGAGACCTTCCTGGGGATCCTCTGGCCCCTCCAGCCGAGCCTGCAGCCTTGGGATTTCCTCTGTGTCTCAGCTCAGCGAGGTGGGGGTCCCCAGCTGGGAGCAAAGATGATGACCACACAGAAGAAGACCCTCAAAGTGCTCACCTTCCTGGTGCTCTTTGTCTTCCTCACCTCCTTTGTCCTGAACTATTCGCACACCATGGTGCCCGCTGCCTGGTTCCCCAAGCAGATGGTCCTCGAGCTATCACTGAACCTCCGGAAGCTGATCAAGTCCCGGCCCTGCACCTGCACGCACTGCATCAGCCAGCGCAAGGTCTCCGCTTGGTTCGACGAGCGTTTCAACCAGACCCTGCAGCCGCTGCTGACAGCCCACAATGCAGTCCTGGAGGAGAACACCTACCAGTGGTGGCTGGTGAGGCCTGCAGCCCAGGGCGGGGCTTGGGGGGGCAGGGGTGCCAGGGCCAAATGCCAGGCATTTGGCAGCTTTCAGAGACTCGTGAATTCCTTCACTCAACAACTGGCTATTGAGCATCTATTATGTGTAAGTCTGAGTAAGCAGTACCATAAGCAGTGGCCGGGAACTGGGTGGCTTAAAACAACAGGTGTATTCATCCCTCACACTTGTAGACACTGGAAATACAAAAGGAAAGTGGGGAAAGAGTCAGTTCCCAGTGGCTGCCTCCTCTGCATGCCTTCTCCCCTGTGTCCTTGTGTCGCCAACCTCCCCCTCCTCTTATGAGGACACCTGTTGTGGGACTAGGGCCCACCCTGAATTGTGACCTAGATACCTTTAGCAGCCTCCTCTGCTGGGGCCCTTTCTCTGGGGAAGGCCATGTTCTCAACTTCTAGCAATGGCTTCTAGACACCTAGTCCAGGCATCAAATTTCAAGAAAGATTATTCTCGTGGAATCTTTGCCACTTCATCCTCTCTCAGCCACCCCATCCCTGGGGCTGAGGGAGCTGATGGGAATCACCCTATAGTCCACCTCCTCTGACTTCCAATGCTTAGGAGTCCAAGAGCTGGAGGCATTGGCTGTGTTCTGGGAGAACCTTGAGGTGGGGTCCCGAAAGCCTGGGTTCAGATCCTGGTCCGCAGCTGGGCCAAGTCTAGGAACCTAGCTGCCCTGCTGAAATGAAAAGTGGACCCTTTCAGAGTCTGCCAGAGCTCACCGTGGTTGAGGAAGAGTGTGCACTCACAGGGCCACCATGCAACCTGGCCAGAGTCTCCTGGGAACACTGGGCAGACTGGTATTGCAGGGCAGTGGCCAACAGGGTGACCCACATGTCCAGGTTTTGGCCCTGACACTCCTGCTTCCAGGGGACCCCTCGGTCTCCAGCAAGCAGGACGCCTGGGGGCCAGGCAGGGAGTTCTGGGGTCACTGACTTTGGGCTGCACCTTTGAAGATGCAAAGCATCTGCCAGGGATCTCTGTGCATCCGGAGAACGGCTGATGCTTTGACCGGAGTTCAGTGATCCTGGGCTGCTGAAAAGCAGAAGGTGAGAGTGCTAGAGGTGGAGGTAGGGACAGGGATCCTGCTGCTGTCAGTGAGAGGCAGGGCCTAGCCAGAGATGAACACTGCACCCACCCCTGCTGTTCTTGTCCAGATAGGAGCAGTGGCGTGCAGCCTGGGTTTGCAGGACCCAGGGAGCATAGTGGGAGCGAGATGGCTCCCCAAGGTTATGGCTGTGACCCTGAGGGTTGGAGGGCCTTTCAGAGGGAAACTCGGGGAGGAGCAGGCCAGATGTGAGGGCCCCGTGAAGCCACAGGTGGAGTGAAGGTCGGCTGGGTCCCTCCCCGTGCTCCACCGGCCCAACTTGTATGAGCCCGTGTTCATTTCTCAAGGGGCTTGTGCAGACATCTGCTCAGCGGACATTTGCAGAATGGACAAGTGAGCCTTTCCTTTCTTTTTCCCGAGCAGCCCTTGGGGTCCCTGGTGGGCAGGTGGGGCAGCCGTGACAGGGCCCTGTTCCCTGTACCCAGGGTCCTACAGGGAAGGGAATGTGTGAGGCCGCAGAAGCCATAGTGTAGGAGTGTTGGCCGCTGGTGGCCAGGAGGTGGAGCCCATCTGCTGAGGCAGCAGCCCCCACAGGCTGACCCATCTCGCTCTGCCCTGTGCTACAGAGGCTGCAGAGGGAGAAGAAGCCCAGCAATCTGAGCGATGCTGTCAAGGAGCTGTTCAGCGTGGTGCCTGGGAACGTGGATCCCATGCTGCACAAGAGGTCCGTGGGCTGCCGGCGCTGCGCCGTGGTGGGCAACTCAGGCAACCTGCGGGAGTCCCTGTACGGAGCTGACATAGACAGCCATGACTTTGTGCTCAGGTGAGTCTGCGCCCTCAGCCCAAGCCCACTCGCCGCACCAGGGGCCTGGGGAGCCATGGGGAGCACCCGGCTCGGGTCAGAAGGCCCAGCGTCCAGGTGTGGGCCCTGGACTTTCACAGGGACCCGGGCTTCTCACTGTGCCCTCTGGGACTCAGTTTCCCCATCTTCGCACCATGGGATGGGATGGGCTAGAAGGCCTCTCCGGATGCTGGCAGAAGCCCTCCCTAGGAGGTCCCCAGTGGACTGGGAGCTTGCGTGGGCAGCCCGGTGTGGGTAAGGTTGCTGGACTGCTTCTCCCTTTTGCCTCCCCTGCAGTCTGCAGTCCAGGCCACGACAGTGCCATGAGCTTTTCTGGCGAGGTGTGCTGTGCCCCCAAGTGACACAGACACCATAGGAAAGAGCCCAAGTCTCCCCTGGGTATCACACCATTCCCTCCCACCTGACTCACAAGGGCCCTAGACAGAGACATGGAACCCGGGCTGTCTTCTGTGACTTTGCTTGATGTGACAGAAAAATACAGTGGAAGGTGTTACAGTAAATGACACGTTGCCATTAATACCCCTTCAGAATACTTCCTTTCCCTTCCAAGACACTTCTCTCATCATTCTTGCCACTTTTGGAAGCAGTTCTGGAGGTCTTCCCTCGCAAGAGTCTGTAGGGGCTCTATCGTGGCCGCCTCAGTATCCTGGATCCATTCAAAACGTTTTCACCTTTTCGCGGCCATTTTAACTTTGCGGAGGAGCCAAAAGTTTCACATTTCCAGATCTGGAGAATAAGGTGGAGGAGGACACACTGTAATGGCTTTCGTTTGACAGAAATTGCCATAAATGTATGATCAGCAAGGTGTGATAAAAAATCATGATGAATGTTTAAATTTAAAAACTGATTATAGTAAAAGACCCATTGCTATTAATCCCTGTCAGAATACTCCCCTTGCTTTAAACACACTGCTCTCGTCTTTCTTGGCAATGTGACTTTACTGTAATAACTTGCTTTATATGTAAAGCAATCCTCCATCACTCCTTTTATCACGCAGTCATTCCTTGTTTCTCTGACATTATACACACAGCACCTGGCTTCTCAGTGTGCCCGTCCATGGTCAGGTTTGGGTCAGACAGACTCAGGTTCCAGGCTGGCACTTGGTAGCTCCATGGCCTACAACAACCTGTCTGAACCCAGGCTTCCCCAACCATTAGAAAAGATCCTAAATAGCTACCGCTGTGGTCCCATAAGGGAGGTAAAGAACTAACACACATCATGGGGAGTGTTCCTCTCACTTGAGATAGTGAAAAAAAAAAAACAACCCAGAGCCTTTGGCCTGTACCTTAACTTTCCCCACTATGGGGCATGGAGGGCTGAAGACAAAGCGGACCCCCCCAAAATCACCACCCCGCTGCAGCTCTCAACCCTGCACCTGTGACACCCAAGCCTAAGATGTATTTCACTGCCTTCTTTCCCCAGGATGAACAAGGCACCCACAGCGGGGTTTGAAGCTGACGTGGGGAGCAAGACCACGCACCATCTGGTGTACCCCGAGAGCTTCCGGGAGCTGGGGGAGAATGTCAGCATGGTCCTGGTCCCCTTCAAGACCATCGACCTGCAGTGGGTTGTCAGTGCCACCACCACTGGTACCATCTCCCAGTGAGTCTTCTCTCCTGGCCACCTCTGCCCTCGAACCCCTCAGGCTGTGCTGTCCTGGGCCCCAGCCCCACCTGATCTTCATGGGGACCAGGATCCCTCTCCTCCACCACATCTGTGAAGCTGTAGCCTTTACCACCCTCTCTTAAGGACTCCAAACAGACCCCAGAATTCGCTTCCCCAAATACCGCCTAGTTCACATATGCCTCTGAAATAACTTTTCTCTTTAAACTGGAAAGGGTCCTGAGCTGGCCTGAGAGACCAGTAGCTCCCTGGGAACCCCAGGCCCAGCCTGACAACTTGTCTAAGGTTGAGCTCAAGCCAGAGCTTGGTTAAGGTCTAGATCTGATCCCTGGGAGGAGTGGCTGCCAGGGCCAGCGTTTCACAGGCCTCCCGGTTCCAGGCCAGGCCTCCCAGGAGCTGGGGCTGGGACTGCATTCTGTTGGGCCTTCTGGGAGGGAAGTGAGGCAGGTACAGTGGGAGCAGCCCCGGCAGAAAGGACCTGGGCCAGGAACTGTGCTTGAAGCAGGCCCACCTCCCAGGACCTCTGGGAAAATGGGCTCAAACCATGGAGAGTGACAGAGTGAGTCCAGGCTGCCCTCTGGTGTCCATAGAGGGGCGGCGCAGAGGGGCCTGGCTGGATGGGGGGTGGGGTAGAGGAGCCCTAAGAGCAAGGATGGGGCCAGGCCCGAGAGGCCCTGCTCCCTCCCAGGGACCCCGCCCTACACTGACCACCTCCTCTTCCCTTGGCTGCAGCACCTACGTCCCGGTCCCCACGAAGATCAGAGTGAAGCAGGATAAGGTGAGCAGGGCTCTGCCAGGCAGGGTGTGGCCCCCATCTGGCTTCTCCCCTGAAGAGGTCACAGCAATGGGAATGGCCTTCACAGTGCAGAGGGCACTCGTCCTAGGTGGGGATCCTCAGGCCCGTCCCGGGCTGCTGCTCCCGCCCAGCAGCCCGATTTCCCTGAGCCCTGCGGGGACCGAGGGGAGGGAAGCCACGAGTGTCCGGCCATCTGGGGAACGGAAGTGATTCCCACCAGTAACCAGAGTCGGGCAGAGCAAATGGCTCTGTTTGTGCGTGCAGGTGTGTGAGCCAGGGTCCCACTGCCACCTCTCGTGGCTCCCCGGGTCTCACTTCCTGGCCCTCTTGGATTTTCATTTCAATGCCACCTGCTGAACCTTCTTGCCCAAGCTCCATGGCTGCTGTCCCAGGCTTCCCTGTCAGTCCTACCCTCTGGTTTGTGCTCTTGAGACTGCAGGCTGTGCTCCATCCTCCTCCAGCACTGAAGCCTACAGCCCAGGGGTGGTTTTCAGGCCTCTCTCGCTGTGTCCCTGTGGCCACGTCCTTGGCCAGCCAGGCTCAGCCAGAGCCCACCTTCTTTCCACAGATCCTCATCTACCACCCTGCCTTCATCAAGTACGTCTTCGACAACTGGCTGCAGGGCCACGGGCGGTACCCGTCCACCGGCATCCTCTCGGTCATCTTCTCCATGCATGTCTGTGATGAGGTACATACGCTCCACGAGGTGCAGACTGTCAGGGACCAGGGCTGGCCACTCTGCAGAAGCTTGGCCTCCTGATGCCCACCTCACGGGACCCTTCAGTGTTCTCTGAGAAAGTTCTTAGGTACCAGAGTCTGGCACGCTCTGGTCATTGCCCAAGGCAAACCAGGATGAGGGCTGGGGGAGCTCAGAGTCGGTAGCTCACTGAAGGACAAGCTTCAGCAGGGAGAGCCGTCCAGGGCTGTGCTCTGCTGTCTGAATGGCTGGATTCTGACACTGATGTGAGAGTCACCATGGGGCTGTGTTCAACACGCAGGCCGCAGCACAGCCCAGTCCCATGAGAGCTTCTGGAGGCAGGAACCGGGTGCTTGGGGATATTCTGCTACTTCCCAGTGATCTTGCCAAGTGGCTCCCCAGGCTGGGTGTCTGAGCAGAGGCCCAGGAACACGGGCCCCACTCTGATTCTTCTCCTTGGGCCTGATTTCAGGTGGACACTCAGATCCCTGCCCACACCCTGCCTGGCTCCTGGCCAGAACCTAGGACAAGGCCTGGGGACTGCAAGGCAGACCGCAGTCTCCCACCCAACCTTCCCAGCCCACTGGTCACTGATTCCTTGGGGTTCTGTCTCCATCCTATCCACCTGATGTCCAGGCAGGCACTTCCTAAGAAGCTGCATTTTCCACAGAGCTATCCCACAGAGCTATCCCCTGCCCCAGCTTTGTCCCCATCCCTCAGATATGTCCTCCAGGCCTCAACCCATGGCATTAGCTCGCCCTAAAGGCCACCACATGGCTCCTTCCTGGTCATTGTCTACTTACTGGAAGACCCAACTCTGATGACCATGGTGGAAAGCCTCCTCGGGTCCTCAGGGTTCAGAGCCCTGAATTTAGCCTGTTTCTCCAAGAATGACTTAGTCTTAAGTGGTAACTTCTTTCTGTTATAATACGCCACAAGGCCGAGGCCTGCCGTGGGTGTTTCTGATTCCCAGGCACTGCCTTGGTGATATCTGGGATGTCCACAGTGCCAGGCACACAGTCAGTGCTTAGTCAATTTGTCAGACATATGAAGGACACTGAGCTAGGTAGATGTTGCCCTCAAGGAAGGAAGAAAAGAATCAGTCCCTGTCACCTGCCTCTTGTGAATGTGCTTCTTGGTTCCACTTTCAAACAAGGACAGTGAGGCTGAGAAGTGGTTTGACACAAGCAGGGCCAGCCACATAAGGTGCCATTTGCCTGGCTCTGAAGCCCTCCATCCTCCCCAATGCCCTCCCGCCTCAGACCCCAGACATGGAGAAGAGCTTGCTGTTGCCTCACAAGAGGCCACCCCGCTGTGGGCCCAGACACCTGCAGTCCGCTCCTAAGTACCCATGGGCTGGCACTGAACTCGAGTTTGCTTGACTTGCTTTGGCTTCCCTGAACCCTGGGGATTCTGGGAAGCTGGAGAGGGGTTTTGTCCACAAGCTGGGTGTAGACCCTTCTGTAGGTTTCTGGGGTGCCCACCGTCTCCCTGTTCCAGGAGCTCCACTGTCTCTACCCTAGTGCTCACCTCTGCTTCGCCCCTGCAGGTGGACTTGTACGGCTTTGGGGCAGACAGCAAGGGGAACTGGCACCATTACTGGGAGAACAACCCTTCAGCGGGGGCTTTCCGAAAGACCGGAGTGCATGATGCAGACTTTGAGTCCAATGTGACAGCCACCCTGGCAGCCATCCACAAAATCCGGATCTTCCAGGGGAGATGATGCTCTGGAGGGTCGAGGGTGGACTGACCACATCACGCCTGGCGGTTTCCAGCCCCAGTCTCGCAGGAGCCGGAGCCTTCTGGGAGCTTCCAGAGCCAGCCTCTGGGGTGTGCCCAGGTGCAGCCGGAAGCCTCCTGCAACCCCGCTTCAGGCAGCAGTGACTCAGCAAAGTCACCCCACTCTGCCAGGGCTGCACAGCGAGTCCTGGGACCTAGGAGAGCTCGGCCCTCTGCTGTCCCAGTGCGGGGAAGGGAAGGCAATGTTAAAAAAAAAAACAAAAAAACAAAACTGTTATTTTATGAGGAAAGACAAATTCCCAGAGAGATGGGCAGAGCCAGCCACCACCACAAGGCCCAGTGCTGACTCTGAAACCCCCTCTCACCGGCACGTATGAGTGGCTGTTCCCTCCAGCACCGAGCCATGCCAGCCGCGAGGCACAAGGACAAGATGCTGCCGCCTTGTTTGCTTGAAGCCTGGCCGCTCTCTTCCTGGAGCTCACTGATGACGCTGCGACCGCCCCCAGAGGTCTCCTAGGAGGCTGGCTGCCTTTCCCACAGGAGCAGCTGCCTGCGCCCACGTGCGTTCTTTCTCATCAGTCGCGCGGGTCCAATTAGTGCAGAGAGCCGCTCCAACTACTTCATGTGCCTTTGTGCTTGAGTAAGAAGTGCATGCGTTGGCTGAAATGCAGCCGGAAACCCCAGCTCAAGGGAGGGTGCCCACCAGGGGGCGCCCTGCTGCTCTGGAAACCCTTTGTCAATTTCCTGAGCCAGTGCCTGAGTTGGAAGGAGGCTCCGATAACGCCTACGGGTGCACTGGTGTAGAGCACCCAGTGTACTCCCTGGACTTTCGGCTTTGGCGCCTGTGACCTTCCCTGGCCACGTAGAGCCTCACAGCCTGCACTTCCCCTGGTGCCCAAGCCCTGGGGTCAGGGTGGGGGGCTTCCAGGGAATGGTGACCAGCACATACCTCGTCTTCTCGCTCTCAGTCATTCTCCTCCTCCTCCACCTTCCTAATTATTTATTGATTTTGTAAAATGATTCAACTGACATGTGTGAGCTCTGGCTGTGCTGCTGCCCCTGGGTGTTTCCATCACGTTTCTGTTGAGTCTTCTCTCGAATCTGGGAGCAGGGAGCTTAAAGGAGGGCCTCTAGGACTCCTCCACTGGGGTGTGGCCCGTCCATGGCTAGGGTTGGTTCCCGGGTGAACCAGGAACCGTGCGGTGGACCCAGCCACCTCCCCTTGAACACAGCCTCCCTTCCTCCTCCTCTCTGGCTCCTAGTCTCCCATTCAGGCCACCTTACAACCAGGGGGTCCGAGCAAGGCGCCCAGGGACAGTGACTGTTGGCTGTAATCACTGACCCTCACTCAGAAAAGCCACTTCCTGTGGAGAACATTTCCCAGAGGCAGATGTTGGGTGAGGAGGCGGGACAGTTTCTGGATAGAGTAGGTGGGGTCCCCTCAGGTTCAGACCAGGAAGGCAGTGGACAGGAGCTGCGCTCAGGGCCTCATCTGAGAACCAACTGACCTGGGCCTGCACCATCCGCAGAAGTCCCTGGGAAGCATGGGACGAGCTCGCTTTCCCCATGAGCCTGGGCAGTGAGCGTCTGTCCTATAGCTTTCATCAGGTTCTCAGAGATTCAGAATCCAGAGGAGGGTTTTTGTTTGTTTGTTGTGTTTTTTGTTTCTGTTTATGGGACTCTAGCCTGATAAAGGCTGGTGAGTGGTAGAAGTCACAGTCAGGCATAAAGATGAGAGCTCAGCTCATGTGGATCCACTGCTGGGACCTGAGATGTACACATTTGGGCCCAGCCAGCAGTGCTCACCCTGAGCACCACCCTCACCCACTGAGTCTGTTCAGGGTGACTGCTTGCTTGGGTCTGCCGATTAAGAAATGGTCCTGGAAGTGACGCTGGGCCTGTGTCTGCACTGGAAGCTGCCTGCTACCGTGCCTGGCCTCCATCTGCCCCCTACTACCAGAGGATGCCCCCCCACCGCCCCGGGATCCCAAACAGCTCTTCATTTTACAGACTAGAAAAGAAAGGCCCAAAGAAGGGATGTGACTGACAAAAGTGACCAGTTATGACAGAGAGCACGCGGCAAAGAGCTAGAGCAAAACTGGGGTGGTATTAGCTCCATGCTTCAAATGCACAGTTTGGCTTTCCTGGCAAGGTCCCGCCCAGTCTCCGGAACGAACCTGGATGTAAATGTCTGCCCCCTCTTGGCCTCCCTTCTGCTCTGTCCTCAGCAGGCTCCTTGGTGCCATGCAGTGCCCAGGGGAGGAGATGTTTCTCTTCCCATATCCCAGCAAACATCTGCTTAGCGAGGTGTACTTAATCAAATAAAAGCTAGAATTAAATGTGCGATTAGTTTCAGCTCGGGTGAGAGTGACGGAGAATTGGAATGTGCTGGAGCCAGGAGACTGCCCTGGGCTAGGGCAGCGAGTTGAGGGGCCCCTGCTTGTCAGGCAGAGCTGAATCTGAAGCTTCGGGGCAGAAGCACTGAGGGGTCTCAGGAGATCTCAGAAGCATCTTGGCCCTCGGTCCCCCAGGGAGCCAGCAGGCAGTGTTTCTGCAGCTGGCACCATGGGCCCCTCCCTCCCTGGTCCTCACCCACTGTTAGGGGAGAAAGGAGGGCAGACTGGTAGCATTTTCTTCCCAGAGGGATCCAGGGCAGAAATAAAATTCTCGACTTCTAAAACTCTGGCTTTGTCAAGTGTGAGCCAACAATCCATGTGAGCCGAGCTTAGAAGGAGAAGTAGGATCCCAGACACCAGGATGTAGATTAGTGAGGTAGGAGAGAGACCAGTGAGGGCCAAGAGACCTGTTTCAGGTGTCTGTTTCAGGCACAGGGGAGACTGAGGAGCCCCACTAGAATCCCAATCTCCGCTGTGCCCCCACCAGGTGACCTGAGGGCCCATTCTACCTCGGCGTGAATCCTGAATCTGCTTCTAGATCAAAGGTGGAGAGAACCGCAGGGAACATTTAGAACTGAGATGATTGCCTCACCCCTTCTGAAAACTGGAAAAGTGGAAAAGATCTCTCTTCCCCTCCTGGGTGCTGATGGGAAATGCTTTCTCCTGGGAAGCCCAGTCCAGAGTGGCCACTGTCTGGGCAAGGAGGCTGAACAGCTGGGTGACCCCTGAAGCCAGCAACTGTCTTCATTCTCCAGAGAGCTCGGGGCACTACTGTGTCCACTGTGGACACCTGGTTTGCAGCAAACGTGGACATGTGGCTCAGGCTACCCCTCCCGTTGTGGTCCGGTGGCGTGTTCTTCCTGTGCCTAGGAAAGCCGGCTCAGGGAGGGAATGGCAGGGACAGGACAGGCAGGCAGTGTGGGGCAGGATGGTGGGAGTTAGAAACCTTCCTCCTTACTGCAGGGCATGGGAACCCACAGCAGTGAGTCCCCGTCAGCCTCCCCTCCTCCAGCCCACGAGGCCCCGTCTGGCCCCTTGCTTGCACCCAGGGGTCACAGCTCATCCCCCTGCCAGTCCTCAGGCCCCGGTGGCTTTAGCCCCAAGGTGCCCACCCCAGCGGGCTCAGGAGCCGCTGCTCTCCTTTCTGCATGACCACTTTAGTCCCTCACCAAATCCCTTTCCAAGCCAAAGTTCCTTGAGCACTTTTTCCTCTCTGCGATCTCTTTCTCTTGGCCATTGCTTTCTCTTCCTCTGTGCCTCACTCCGGGTTCATTTTGCAGCTGAGCGTTGATTGATCTGGATGGGCTTTAAATGATGCTAGCAAGTCTGCCTCCCGTAGCCCCTGCTCTGTTTTATTTATTGTTGAGTATTTCCAATGATCTGAATCAAAGTGAATAAAAGAAAGTTATTTTATCATTTGGTTATATTTTGTTGTTGTTGTTGTTTTGTTTTGTTTTTTTATATACCAGGCCCTGGGAGGTGCTGCCTGGTATATATTTCTATTCAGCTGAAGTTCTCAGTTTTCAGGAGCCAGATCTTCATCTCCAGGACCGTGGAGTTAGTGTCTGCCCCTAAAAAATGCCCAGAAAGGGACTTGGGTGACAGAAGTACATCAGCACCTCTCCACCTCAGCTTTGCTGTTCCCTGCTGTGTAATGTGTGTCACCCAATGTCTCTGGAACTCAGCTGCCACATCTGTCACCAGGGCCTGAGGAGACCAGGCACCGGTGCATGTGAGATCCAAAGCAGAAGGGTCCCCAGAGGCCTGATGAACACAGGCCAGCGGCTCTGAGCACTTGATGGGCCAGGGCCTAACCTAAGCCCAGGTGGTGTCTGTCATACACAGAGATGGCACATGGACACAAGTGTGATCTGGAGTAGCAGAAACAGGAGTTTTGGGGGTTTTGTTTTGTTTTTAATAGATCTAGAAGCTTAGTCTTGGGACTATTGTGATTTACATTTGCTATAAATGTTAAAGGTGCCCTCCCATTTTTGAGGCACTCTGCAGTTTGCACACCACTTCCTGGCACAATCCTGATTGTGCCAGTGGCTCTGTGGGGCTGGCAGGGGTGGAGGGCAGTGCTGGGGTCCAGGCTTCCAGCTCCCAGCACCTCTGGACACAGCCAGCAGCAGTTCGCTGAGCACGCTGGAGGCATCTGTCTCTGGAGACCTGAAGGCAGCGAGACAAGACAGTGCAGGTCCAGGCAGCCCAGGTCCGGCCTCACAACAGTGTAAATCTGAGCAAGTATCAGGTTCCCGCTGGGCCTGGCCTCGCTGGGATGAGTTCTGATGATGCAGATCTTCTCACGAACATGCATTGAGGGTAGCATCCCAGGGGGATTAGAAGAGGGCCTGGCCCACCCACCAGTGAAGATAGCTGTGATTTCACAGAGCACGGGAACCCAGGGGCTTCATCAAAGCTTCAGAATGGACAGCAGGGCTCCACGTTGCCCGGCTGCCTCCATTTCTGTGTATCCCTACCCCCATCCCGGCCCCCATGCTGCGGCCCTTCACGTTACCACGGCATCTTCTCCAAGTGGTTTCCTCAGTTCTCCTCCGCTCCCCCTTGCTTCTTTGTGCTCCTTCTACCAAAGCCCTGTTCAAAATCTACTCTTGACAAGAACAGCCCCCCCCCAAAGACCCAGCTTCCCCCCGACCTTCACTGCCGATTGCCGCCTATTACAGCTGCAGTGCGCACAGGTGGCCACAAGATAGCACCATACTAAAGTTCCCACTGCCCAGCTAAGGGCTGCCTGTGCACCTTGTCCCCTGCACATCACAATCTGGGCTCAGACTGGAGCCTTGGAAGGGAAGAGAAAGAGGCAGGAAGTGGCTGAGGACTTGAGTTAGTCACTTTCCTCATCAGTACAACAAAATGCCCAATACTCGCATCTTAGGAGAGGTTTTCTTGTCACCTTCTTAGTCTACAGTCTGTGGGTTCCAAGGCAGGACAGGTATGTTGGAAGGGCCTGGGAAGAGGAAAACTGCTCAAGCCATGGTGGCTGGAGGCAGAGAGGAGTGGAGAGGGAGCTGCCTTCCGAGTCCGAGCCCAGGAGACACACTCACCAGGTCCCACCTCCCCCACCCAGTGAGCACATGAGGCTCTCAGGGGCCATCCAGATGTAAACCTTAGCTGGTTCTCGAGACCTTGCTTCAGGACACTGCAGGCAGTGGCAATGACAAAGCCCTGCCACAGACCCAGAGCTTGCTGGGATTCGGCCCCGGGGTACCTGGGAAGGCCCTAGGGTAGGCCCTCAGGCTGTCCCAAATGTGCTCCATGATCCAACAAAGAGAGGAAGATCCTTTCTAAAGTAGGTGCTTCCGACTTGGTCATGATGGATGATCTTCTTAATAATCCTCTGTATTCTGTTTGCTAGTATCTTATTAAGGATTTTTGCATCTATATTCATTAAGGAGATTGGTCTGTAGTTCTCCTTTTTGGTTGTATCTTTCTCTGGTTTGGGAATCAGAGTGATACTTGCTTCCAGGAATGAATTTGGAAGTATAGCTTCTCTTTCAATTTCATTGAAAAGTTTGAAGAGTAATGGTAGTAGTTCTTCTCTAAATGTCTTG